ATGAAACATTCTACATTCTGCTTAACACTGATGGACACCACGCCATTTGAAAGCTGGATCTAGTCGTACTACGTAGACAAGATTTCCTGATGATATATAAAGCATCGATTAGACAACTTATTCTTCATCTTCTTCCTGTTATGCCTAACCTTGCTGATGACGCTGGCGTAGAGCGTCAAAACGCATGGGTAATTAAAGGAATTTACATTGCCTTTTAAAATTTGTTTTTTAAACAACGAATTGAGAACTTAGGATCGGAAACTCGCTAGGTTAGATCGGTCATCAGCTACGGATATGAAAATAGGACATCCAAGAAGAAAGAATGTAAATTCATTGACTGAACTGTTCCACAGAAATTTCCTTTAGTCCGACGGATAACCTCTTATCACAGAGAAAGCCGTACTCATCTCTTCACTTGAACGAAGCCTCTATCGATCAACTACCGATTTCACCACTATCTTGTATAAGTTACCATCCAAAATGGTAATTCTCCCTTACCGATATAGACGAAAATTCATTCCCTGTTCAGTTCAAAGCGGCAAACGTTTCGCTGTGACCGCATAATGGCTAGATATTGCACCTTCAGCGTGCATTACTTGACCTATATGTTAAATTGGCTGTGAATCATCAATCTAGGCCAGCTTAGCTAAAGCAGTTATGCAACAAGCCTTTTTCAATGAAGCGTGTCCCATCCAGAACAGGATTTCCGTGAAATTTCAACCGCTCAACAAACTTTTTACCAAACACTTTTACTGACATACTGATGTACAGAGTAAAAGACTCACTGCTACACTTATACACTGCGCGACACTGTGTCGTAAAAAAATTTATAAATGTTCTGCTTTGTTTAAATTTTAATTTGAAAAAATAGGACATAAAGCACATCACTGTAAAGAAGCGACTGCATACAGAGCTTAAAAACCATATGTTCAAATCTCAGAAACGACAGCTAATTTCAAACTGTAAGAAGTTGGATTTTGATCGCTGACGTCATCATTTACTGTACTGATTATTCGCCATGAAGCGTTTTGGCCGCAAACTTGACGTC